GTGCTGGACAGGGCTGTGATTCACGTCCTGGGCAGGCCACTGTGAGATTTCATCATGCTACTCAGAATGACAGCAATTTAAAACTTATGAATTGTTCATTTCTGGAATCTTCCACTGTTTTTGAACCATGGTTGACCACGTATAACCACTGTTTTTGAGCCTTGGTTGACCACATATAACTGAAACTGTGGAAGGTGAAACTGTGGATGGGGGTGGTGGTGATTATACCAGTGTTTCACTCATGAGTGTAATGACAAAAGTTCTTTCATTGGCTTTTTGGCCATTAAGAGTTTAAACCCCAAATGATTTTAAAATATTTTTCACATAGTTTGGTAGTTGTATGATTTCATTCATATATCAAGTTAGGGATCATCATTTATAACTTTGGTTTTTGTTTCAAAAAATTTTTTTTGTTTCTCTAAACTTAAAATAAGGGCCGGCCCAGTGGCTCACTGCTATAGTGCGCTGCTTGGGAAGTGCAGCGGCGCTCCCGCCGAGGGTTCGGATCCCACATGCAGACTGGTTCCTGCTCACTGGCTGAGCGAGGGGCGGGAGCAACACCGAGGGCTGCGATCCCGTTGCCGGTCCCGGTCCGGTACAGGGGCGACACTGAGGGTTGCAATCCGTTGCCGGACACAGAAAAAGACAAAAAATAAATAAATAAATAAATAAATAAAAATAAAGTGCGTGCTTGTTTTGAAATTCTAACAGACAACAATACTGTATTTTCTATGGTTTAAATTATATACTTGGAATGGTTTTATTTTTGATGCTTCTTTGTATCTCCCAAACATCATGATGCCTTTGTTTGTTTTCTCAGCACGATTACGTGGTGTTCATGACGGTCTGTTCACTGGACAAATAGATGCTGTGGATACTCTTAATGCTACTTATAGAGTAACTTTTGATAGGGCGGGGCTTGGAACCCATACCATCCCTGACTACGAAGTTCTTGTAAGTAGTATTTTATAATACATTTGTATTTTATGCCTATTAAATATGTTATGTAAAGTTTTCTTAGAAACTGTATTTTATGGTAGAATCAAGACTACAAGGGCTGGCCAGTTAGCTCGGTTGGTTCAAGCATGGTGTTATAATACCAAGGTCAAGGGTTCAGATCCCTTGTACCGGCCAGCCACCAAAAAAAAAAAAGAAAAGAAAAGAAAAGAAAGAAAGACTTTTCACAAAGGAAAGGACCCTTAGGGGTTCCCAGCCCTGTCTACTGGAGCAGAACTATGCTTAAGTCTTCTGTTTTCCAGAAGCTAGGATCCCTCTAATGTACTTACCCATACACCACTTTCATGTAACAGAACTGATCACTCCTGACTAAATAATCTTGGGGAAGAAGCTACAAAACATTTTCATTCCAGATGTTAGATTAAAGTTAGTCCTCTTGCAGAATGCTTTTAAACATATGAAGTAACATCTTACATCTTGATTTGTTCTCGTTTATCCTCAGAGTCACTCAGGGTGGGTGTTAATTACCTTCACTTTTTGTGTGAATGAAATAGAGACATAAATCCATTAAATTTATTCAAGGCTGTAGAGCTGGTTTCCTGTCAACCTAGACTAGAATTCAGATCTTTTGAATTTCTGGTATACGCCATTAATTTACCAGACCATTACTTTGTGGTCTTGCTTGATTTAGCAATGTCATGGAAATTACATACCCTACGAATAAGTTAAAATAATTTTAAGAACTAGTATAACTCTGCAATCTGATAAAGTTTTTAAAAAAAGAATAATGAACTTTTTGTAACAAAATAGTTTTCCTCTAAGCATTATAGAAATAAAATTTTTCACTTTTAGGCTCCGTTTTTTCATTTCTTTGTTATGAACTTGATTTTAAAAGATTATGACCTTATAATTAAAAATAAAAAATGTTTTTACCTCCTTAGTGCAAAAATAGAAGAATCTTCTTTTTTGATACGTATTTTCATTCTTTTTAAAAAGTATGACTCTGTTTATTGTGAGGGTTTTCTTATTAAACATCCCTTTTAGACAGCAACAATAGGGGAGAAAGAAAATTTGGATTAAATATAGTGCAAAGTACACCACTCTTAAGTGTTTATATTAAAGGATGGAATCTTCAAACCTCCCCTTTCAAAAAGGAAAATTGCTTTTCTATTTTATTAATGTGATTTTCTTTATGAGATTATGCAAACATTTCTCCCTGGCTATATAAGAGTTAACTTTAATTACAGTAAGATATATTCAGGTAATGTAAATACAGACAACCAAAGGTGGCCAAACAACACTTTAACATTAATCTTTGATTCTCCAAACCTGTTTTGATTCTTCAGTCTTTTTTTTTTTTTTTTTTTCCTTAATTCTTCTTTGTAGGTTCAACCTTTTAGCATCAAAGTAGTGTTTCCATAGTTGGACTTCAATTCTAGCCTTTGATCTTTGTGTAATAATATACACGATAAGCCATAGAATATGAGTGGGTATATTTCTGAAGCTGAAATATAATGTTTATAAAGCTTGAATAATTGGTAAATTTCTTTAAGTTTTGTGGGTTATTTTATTTTCCCAAAGAGTAATGAGCCTCATGAGACGATGCCAATTGCTGCCTTTGGACAAAAACAGCGGCCTTCTCGATTTTTTATGACCCCACCACGGTTACATTATACTCCTCCTCTCCAGTCACCAATTACGGTGAGTAGTATTTTAGAAATGTCATCAGTAATTTAATTGATTATTATGAATGTGAACTATGTCCTTATGAAATACACATCTGTTACAGCAACTTCAGGAGGTACCCACATTATTTTGAACTGCCAAATCTTTTTTTTTTTTTTTTTTTTTTTTTTTTTTTTTTTTTTT